AAAGAGATAATCAGTTGATCAAAAAAAAAAAAAAATTACACCAATTTCACTCCTGCCTTAGTCAATGAATCGATCACGGCTTTCACCTTGCCGTGATATTTCTGATCCTTCTTCAAGAAAACGGACACAGCAGGTATATTCTGAAGCAGCAACCTTTCTCCGAGTATTTTCCCGATTTTGGCAGCAGCCGACACATCCCTAGTGCTCTCTTTAGCCTTTTCCAAGCTCAATCTCAGTGCCTTCTCTTGTGTGCTGGCTGCAGATGCTACAGTAGCCGTGGGCGTGTGAACAACTTGCGCATTTACAAACTTATTCGTGAAGTGCATTCTAAGGACATAGGGTTTCAGAAACTTGGTCACTCTTTCTGGCCTTACCGGAGGAGGAACCACCATTTTTCCTGTCACACAGAAAGATATGAATTTTACTTTTAACGATGAAAATCTATTAGGTACATTACACGTGCTTCTCAGTTACTTGCAAAAAGAAGACGAAGATGAGACCTATAATAAGGACTACTATTAACACGTCATGCAAACACAAATCTGGATAAATGAATTCTTGCAGAGAAGAATGAACCAGAAAATATGTATCGTATTCGTACCACTTAATTTAGATTTCGGATCCATATAGATTGAGAAGGAAATAAAGAATAAATTCGACTTTCAAACATTCTATAAGTGAACATCCCTTTCAAATCATCAATCAGCTACGGGATTCGACAGCAATCGACAAGTCAATTTTCCTGATCACGGCAAAAAGTTTTCGCCATTCCGGATTTAGCCAAAACAGAACAAGAAGAATTCAGCTCAACTAAGTAATATCATGTGTACAAGCTGAGATATAGTGTTGGGATGATGGGATATTGGGGCTCGGACGTGGGAGCAAATCGTAGAGGAAAATGCAGATCTTTATTGATCGACAATCGAGATATTCTGGTTAATAGAAAGATCGTTTACGTTTCGCAAGCATAATTGAGCCCTCACTGAACCTATTTTTTTGTTCGAACTAGCTCCATTAACAAACAAACAAGCTCGAACGAACCAACAGGGGTTGGCTCAAGTGGTAAGCAGCTTGATGTCGCTTAAGCAAGGTCTCGGGTTCGAGTCCTTGTGGATGCAGAAAACCCTTGTTGGGAGACTCACCCACCACTGCCAGGTGTGCGACCCAGGTCGACCAACGGATTAGTCGGGGCATAGCTCCGAATACCGTGGCTGGCTACCAAAAAAAAAAGCTCGAACGAACATCACTAGCTGAACAGATTGTTTCATCAGCCAAATAGCCAATAAACTCAACACAATAAAACCTAAACAATACTTCACAAAGACAACATTTTTAACTCAATCAACACACAATTTCCATCTCCACAAACTCACAAATTTGATAAAATGGCATCAGTACATAACCCCCAAAACATGAGATTAGATTCTAATCGCGAAAAAATTATCAGCTCGAAACTACAAAAATGTATATAAATCAGTGTGAACCTCTCTTCGCCAAGTATGAACCTCTCTTCGCCAAAGCTCTTCGTTTCAATTGCAGCCCTTAATGGAAGAGTGAAGAAGCTCGAGGCCGAAGATGTATATGATAATGGGCTCAGACTTGGGCTTTATCTTCTGGGCTCAAGACCCTTTATACTTTCTGTAGAATTAGGGTAGCCCCATACCCATTGAACATCTCTTGAAAAGGACTAGAAATAGAAGAATCGAAAATTGAGGGACCAAACGGAAAAAGGGAGAAGAGCAATGTGTATCTAAACAAGCAAACCCAATCTCGTGCTCCTAAAACTCTAGGTTGGAGTCTTTATCGAGCTAGCCAACTAATGGTCTATCAAATTAACTAATTAAGTAAATGTGACGAATTGATAAATCTTCAGAATCATACAAAAATTTGGAGATCCCAAAATTTGATCTCCAGAACTGTACCAAAAAGTCGTTTCTGTTCTGTTCGGAGATTTTATTTTTCGGTTCCGTATTCGGGACTATTGGGACGGTTCAGTTCAGTATGGTTTGGTTAGAATCTTTGGAGATTTCTTATTTTTTAATTTTTTTTTTTGAATGACTACCTTGTTATATTTTAATTTTTATATGCTCTAAAAAACAACATTCATCAAAACTCATCATAAGATTTTATCTTGAAATTAATTTTAGAAATAACTCTAAATTTTAGTTATTTAATTTTTACATGCTTTAATAAAATCAACATTCATCAATACTTCCTCATATTAAAGATTTTATTTTGAAATATAAACTTTAGAAGTAACTTTAAATTTTAGTTAAAACTAAATTTGTGCAACTATTAAAAATTTAAAATTCAAACAAAATATAATATTTTCTTCTTAAAAAAAATATTTTTAACCTTTCATATTATTTTAAATAATTATTTTATAATACAAAAAATTCAATTGTAGATCAAATATTACTAAATTCGTGCCAAAACCGTGACTTTTGCTCCTTTCTCGTTTGCTCCTATCTCTTCCTTTTGTTTTGTTTTTGTTTTGATTTTTGTTTTTGTTTTTGAGTTTTTTTTTCACTGTTTCTATTGGGTTTCATCTCTAGTCTAGTCCAACTTGTTTGGGACTAAAAGGCTTGTTGTTGTTATTGTTGTTATGAAATTTAAGTGAAGGTTAATAGTTATTACTATATTATATATATAGGATCAAAGTTGACATAAAATATATATAATATTATAATTCGTTTCTTAATTTCGATTTTTCTATTCGGTACGGCACGGTATTTGACGGTTCGGTTCGGTTCTTGGTACGGATGTTTGTGAAATCTCCAAAACCATACCAATTTTTTTTTTTTTTTTCGGTTCGGTTCGGAGAAAGTCAAACGGTCAACAATTATTTTCGGTTTGAAGTGATTTCGGTTCGGTTTTCGGAACGGTTCGAAATTCTCCGAGTCCCATGCTCAGCCCTACTAATAGTACATAAAGATACATAAATTATTTCTCAAATCTAAGACGTTCATATTTTGCGGTTTTTAAAAATTTTAACCGCACCGCAAACCAAACCCTCCAGAAACTGAACCGAACTGCTTGGTTTTTCGATCACCGACTCGGTTTTGCTCAACCCTACTCATGGTGAGAAGAGAATATCCTAACATGGGTATCCGAATCAGTTTCCAATTTAAAAGACACACTGTTATTCCTTACAAGAATAATAACTATATGCAGTCTTGATCTCCTAATGCCATTTTGCTTTTCCCTACCAACAATTACTCTTTTGCTATTTGAAGATTTGATTTTTAATTTCCCACGTGATACAAGATTAGTAATTGGTTGGGTGTTTGTTTCTTGGGAGTTTGTTGTGTTTTGTTGCCTTTTGCAATATACTTATATTTGTTGAGAGTAGAGAGTTTTCATTATTGTTGAAATGTGGCACAATTTATAGTTTATGTTGCTCATACAGCCATCAAAAGAAGTTCCTTTCATATCAAGGTTGGTTCGATTTAGCATATAGCTCGAGGCTGACCGAGACTAAAATCGAGCTTGAAACCAGTGGCTTTAGCATACTTGTTTTCCTGAATTTTGAGACAGTATGGTTTTGTGAGCCTCTGCAGAATCAGTAGAAGAAAGAACAATTATGAATATATATATACAGTTCCCTCTTTGCAACTTTCATGTTCAAGTACATGGAAAGTACGAATGAATTCTTGTTATAATTATATACATCATTATACGATTGCAGAAAGTGATTCGAGAAAATTCTTGGGATTGAATTATGAACAAGAATCGTCATTTTTCTAATTTTAGCTGTCCGGATCCTCTCGAAAGATCCATTTATAGATTCTTTTTCCCAATCGATCTTTATAGAACGCTTTGCTCTCTAAGGTTGTGAAGAAACTTTTCTCCAACTTTAGATCCATCTTTGACGAAAACAGCCGGATATCCAATCCGGGCTGCCACCAAATTTACGCAACCTTTTTCCGAATATATTTTTCCAGACCAAACATGCTTCCATGAACAAACCTCTCTTTTTGGAAAGTAAACCTTAACAAACTCCTTGTCTTTGTCAAGAACAGGCACAACTAGGATCTCGGTGCCTACTAGAAACTGCTCGTAGGTTAGCATTTGCACGTGTTCGTCATCTGGATAGTGAATGAATAGGTGTCGACAAACGGGCAGACCCTTTTCAGATGCTTCCTACACAAGAAAATCCCCGAAAGAGAATGTTTATGTTAGAATTATCATAGAGAGATAAAGCTGAAACTATCCTTTTCAGATACCTTCACTAGTTGGATTCTGTAGAATTTCCATGCATTGTATATCTTGGCGAACCGGGAAAAATGAGATAAGGTTCTTTGGTTCGAATAGAATTGAGTGTTGCTTTGTGGCTTATTTCCCTGATCAGAAACAAGTGTGTTGATTAATACTTGAGAGATTTGAGTGTTCAATGTTTTTATACTATTAATAATTACTATCTAAAACAACTCACTTCATGTGTTCGAAAGACAGTTGTAAATGCATTCAGCTCCATCCACCTAAGCAGAAGCTCTTCACTCCTTTTGTACTTTATAAAAAACGGTAATAAGCTCACCGAACAATATCCTCCGATATCACTGTGGTTGAAAGCATAACCCGAAAGCCCGCTGCTTAGCAAGCCCAAAACCGCACTCTTAATCCCATCGTTAGCCTGCCAGCTCACCATCTGGTCTCCTTCCCAGAACAAGCTAGCCCATTTGGGGCTGTTTCGAAATCCAGCCCTCATGAAGAAAACCAAGGGCTCTTGTTGTTTGCTAGTCCTCCACTCATCAGCGAATTCTCGATTTATTTGTGCCCATATTTCAGGGTATCGGTTGTGGGCAGTGATTGGATCTTCTCCTGAAAATTTTGAAAAAATCTTTAGCTCTTGGAAAAAAAAAAAATGACTTTTTAGTGTTTTCAAATGTCTGTTAATTTGTTCTATAATCAAGATTTTTTTTAATGAAATTGCAGAAGCTCACCTGAATAGAGACAAGCATCCACAGGCAAACCTTCACCAAAATCAGCCATCCAACCCTTAACTCCATCATCCACCATTTCTTGCAGAATCTGCTTGAACCAACTTCCCGTTTTAGGATTCGTTAAATCCAACATTCCCACGTCGAAAGCCGTGTTGGGAACCATGTAAGCCCCTCCTTTTTGGTCTTTCACTAGGATGTCCAAATTCTTAGCCTCCTCAAAGAGATTTCTTCTTATGTTTGTCTTCCCATCCATCTTTTATGAACAAATAACCGTAAAAGAAAAATCAGAGTTTTAGTGATCCTAACAAAATGATTAGTTCTAGATCAATTCAATGAAATGCAGCATACCGGAGCTAAACAAGGGTTGCAATATGTCATCACTTTTATATTCTGTGAGCTAAGATCTTTTATCAGTTGTTTCCATCCCGAGTATCTAGTCGAATCGACTTCCCAGTTCCACCATAATTGGGAGCCGATAACAGTTTTCCTTTGTCCTACCCAATCCTGCATGCCAAACACTTATTAAAGAGCTTAAATATCTCATATTTCTACTCTTAACTTTCACACATCAGCTTCTAGCCAATTTTTCGAGCATGGAAAATTTAGGAATTTCTAATTCATTCTTCATTTTTAGTTAGAGTAACTTTTACCTGCAACCAAAATGCAGATATTGGGGTATTCATGGCTTGAAGCTTATCCAAAATACTTCGTACTTTATCCGTGCCGCCTTGCATTCCCACCACAGCCCCTGATATTATCCATTCAGGAAGCTGTTGAGGTCTCCCAATGGCTTCTGTGAAGTTCTCAATAAGCTCGACAGGTGATTTTCCGCATAGTATTCTACCTTCTATCATGTCTCCATATACCTGCACACATTATGGGCACATGTTAGTTCTTCACATATGCTTCTGCAAAGAAAGGGTTAAGCAGTGAATTATATCTTCTTTAGAATCATACCACAAAATTTTACCTGTATCTGTACACAATCATCCTTTGTTAGATCGAAAACCGAATAATCGTACCCTTCAAGGTAAAGAGACCTCATTTTCGAGGTCATGTAAAAAGGCGAAGGTGCATAAGTCGTACTCTCATCACCGGCCGCCCTACATTAGAAATATGAATCACTCAACTCAACTATTTAGAAACTAAAAAAAAGAAAAAGTCACTTATCTTTTTTCTTTTTATCTTTCCTTAACAAAAATTTATTTACCTATAGCTAACCAAATTAGCAGCAAAAGTGATCGGTTGATCGCCCCTCCCGACCCCTTGCTCTTGAACGAATATCGGCACTCTTTTCCCTTTCAAGTCCATGTAAGAGAACTGCTCCCCAAAACCATAAAACCTCTCGGTTTTCTCACTCGAATACGTTATGCAAATCCTGTTAAAATCGGGACAAACAGCATTCTTCATTGCCACATTCTCATCCTGTGCAGGCGAAAACGCTATGGCCGCTCTGCTTTTCACATATCCACACCACCCGACCCGTATTCGACCCACTTTTCGTGCAAAACCTCTGTAACCATATCTTCTTGGAGAGAACTTCTGTGCTTGCTCGAAATTCGGTTTGCCCAACCTCACTCGAAACCCGACTTGTTTGCTGTTTTTCTGATCAAACACAAACCAATACTTTACATAACAGCTCTTATCATCATTAAAAATCCTACCTTTGATCATAACAGCTGGTTCTTGCAAAAATGGTGAATCTTGAATTTGATGATCATGTTGGTTAGATTCTTGTATGACCCTTCTTACATCATCAACTGTTTGGTGGGTGCATAAGAAATGGAGGTTTTTGTCCTTGATGAGGAATGATCCTCTGCTCTCCTCAACCTCTGTGTCGGCTGAGGCTGCAGAGACGAAGGCCCGGCCCGGGACTGTGGCCCATATGGATCTTGAAGGTTGGGCCCTGTGATGGATTGAGAAGGAGCCTCCATTTTGTGATGACCAGCTTAGCTGAAAATCAAGGCCTATGTCATAAATCTGGTGTGAAGGGATTGTTTGGGGATTGTGAATTAGAGTTCCATTGATAAAAGGTAGAGTCTTTGGGTTTGATGGGAAAGGGTTGTTGATGTGTTTATGGTGTTTTTTGGTTATTTTGAGGGATGTCATGTTGGAATCTTTTTT